TTTCTATTTCTTGATTTTTCTCTTATTTTCTCCTATTCTATTCTTTGATTTCTCTTATTTTCTCCTATTTCGTATTCTTGATTTCTCTCTTATTCTCCTATTCCTCTTGATTTTTCTCTTATTTTCTCCTATTCGTATTTCTGATTTTTCTTATTTCCTTCTATTCGTATATTCTTTGATTTTCTCTTATTTTCTTCTATTCGTTTTTTGATTTTCTCTTATTTTCTCCTATTCGTATTCTTGATTTTCTTATTTTCTTCTATTCGTATTCTTGATTTCTATTTTCTTATATATTATTCGTATTTTTGATTTTCTCTTATTTTCTCCTATTCGTATTCTTGATTTTCTCTTATTTTCTTCTATTCGTATTCTTGATTTTCTCTTATTTTCTCCTATTCGTATTCTTGATTTTCTTTATTTTCTCTATTGTATTCTTGATTTTCTCTTATTTTCTTCTATTCGTATTCTTGATTTTCTCTTATTTTCTCCTATTCGTATTCTTGATTTTCTCTTATTTTCTTCTATTCGTATTCTTGATTTTCTCTTATTTTCTTCTATTCGTATTTTTCTCTTATTTTCTTTCATTATTCTTGATTTACTGTATCTTCTTTTCTTTCCAAATGCGCATAACGGGACAGACACGAATCTCGCACTATTAATTTGTCATAGTGCTGTTTGTCCTGAACAAGCGGTTGATGTTAAACTACTAATGGAATTCAATTTTGTTTTAATCAACTCTGTATATTTCTTATCTACGTTTCTTGGTTTTATCTCCATTTCTTATCTCCATTTCTTTGTTTTCTTATCTCCATTTCTTGGTTTTGATCTCCATTTCTTCCCTGAACAAGCGGTTGATGTTAAACTACTTATAGATTTTTTGTTTTAATCAACTCTGCATATTTCTTATCTCATTTCTTGTTGTCTTATCTCCATTTCTTTGTTTTATCTCCATCTTGGTTTTATCACCATTTCTTGGTATTGTTTGTCCCTGCAACATTTGATGTTTAAACTTATTTTAGATTTTTTGTTTTAATCAACTCTGTATATTTCTTATCTACGTTTCTTGGTTTTATCTCCATTTCTTTTTTTCTTATCTCCATTTCTTGGTTTTATCTTCCATTTCTTTTATTGTTTGTCCCTGAACAAGCGGTTGATGTTAAACTACTTATAGATTTTTTTGTTTTAATCAACTGTATATTTCTTATCTCCATTTCTTGGTTGTCTTATCTCTATTTCTTTTGGTGATATGTTTCTTATCTTTTCTTGGTTTTATCTCCATTTCTTGGTTTTCCTATCTCCATTTCTTTGTTTTCTAATCTCCATTTCTTGGTATTTTTTCTTGGTATCTCATAAACTCAAAACCAAATAACCAAATTTCGAAACCCTGAGATTATACCCATCATATTAACAATTAGAAAAGATTACAGCAATCTCACTGATCATTTATAGCGGACATTGAGCGAATGATTTCTGATTGGTCCGACCTGATGTAAGCGATCCCCTGATTGGCTGAATAGGATAAAAAAAAGTGTCTCCTTATTGGCTCAAACCTTTATAGGACGAAGAGAAGTATTAATATCAAGCTCAATACATTTCAAATTAGTGTCCGAGAATCCTTTCATCAGGTGGGATCATAAGGCTGGATGTATTGCATTCAGACAAATGTACTCTATTGTTGTAAGCCTTTGGTTCCGCTGAATTGGCTTGGGATATTAATAATGGCGATGTTAAATTAGGTAAATGGATATACAAACCGATGGGGGTGTCTATTCTCAATGAAATATGTTTGGCTCTTTTATCATATTTAGATGATGCAATCACTCACACGAATGTATGTGTGTGTGTGTGTGTGTGTGTGTGTGTGTGTATATATATAATATATATATATATATATATATATAATATATTATATATATATACACACACACCACACACACCACACACACACACACATCACACCACACACACACACACACACACATACGTGTGTGTGTGTGTGTGTGTGTATACACATATATATATAACATATATATAGTATACATATATATATATATATATATTAATATATACTATATGTATATATACACTATATATATATATATATAATATATATATATATTATATATATAGATAGTATATATATATATATATATATATAATATATATTATATATTATCATACATATATATTATACACCACCACACACAACACACAAATATGTATGAATATATATAGTATATATATATATATATATAATGTATGTATATATATATATATATATATTATATATATATATATATATATATATATATATATATGTATATATGTATATATATATATATATATATATATATATATATATATATATATATATATATATATATATACATATACACATACATATGTGTGGTGTGTGTGTGTGTGTGTATATATATGCATATATATATGTATATATATATATATATAATATATATATATATATATATATATATATATAATA